CATCATTATTCAGTGAAATTGTTAATTACATCCAAATGTCTTAGATTACATCACAATGCCTATAAAAGTTAATTTTAACTTTTTCAAAAGGAGGTCCACAGATGACCGTGACGAGAATAGTTTTCATTTACACTACAACTGAAGAACCTTTCTTACACCACTTGAGTTTACTGTAATGTAAATGGGCACATCCGGTTCAAGGACGGAACGCTTTATGGTGGCCTGATGTAAAAGGGGCTATTGACCATTCAGCAATCCTCTGCAATTTCGGCTAAATCTGTCTCGGTAATATATGGTAGTCCATTGTGTACTCTGAGTTGAGACTCTTTACTTCCCGATTTTAAAATAATTTGTCAATTAGTGATAGTAATATTGCGACCTCAATATAGTTTTACACTTTATTCTGCATTTAATGCTATATTGTGACTATCAATCTGCTTGCTCGTAGCCATGAGTTACTTGCTTAATAATTTTATTTGTATTTTTTTCACTACACTGAACAGAAACATAATTATACTTTTCATCAAGTACTATCTCCTTTGAGACTGCTTAAATAGTTAGCAAATAAAGACAAACTAACAGACACCAACATCTGAACATTTAATGGCGTTCTCTTTGCGATTCAACCAAGTGACATGTTAGTAGACAACCATATTACTAGTGACCAGGTCATGACATTGTAATAATCTTTAATCAGTCATCCTCAACTAATTTAATAACCTTTTAAACAATATTCAACCTACACATAGCAGAATAAGATGAAGAAATACCAATATCAACTGTCAGTAAACAATGCCAGTCAGATGACCAGAAGCACAAAAATTTGCATAACATTGAGCTTGGATTAAGGGATATAGTCATTAAATTATTTATATTACTCATCACATTTATAGATTTCACTTTGCTTTCAGCATTGAATTAAAAACAAATTCCTACAGTTATTTTATCAACTGGTTACCCCAGATCATAATGTAGTGATTAATATTTTAGTGACAATAATTCTAATCATTTCGTCATTCATCCAGAAGTTCATACTTTTTAAGCATAAATAATTCAAATTTTCGTATAATGGATAAAAAAGGGTGTGGTGTAACGTGTACACTTTTCATCACTTTAAATACTATCTAATAATATAGTATATAGTATACTGATATCTTACAGTTTATGTTTTGCCATAGTGAAGCAATTTTTTAAAATCATAAATCTATAGGTAAAAATAAACAAGGTTTCCCAAGGACCATTGTTAATGAAACAGCAAATAGAGAGATAGCTTTCCAGGCAAGGTAACATACGCCCACTACAAGCTGTCAAATAAGAACAGCCTTTAGTGTTGTAAATATGAATTTTATCATTTTAAAGATATTAATAATACATTGTAGTTATTTATTATATTTATTCCAAATTCTTTTTTAAATCAATAGCAATAACCAAAGAGTCCTTCATTGAAAAATCATTGTATTAGAAATTCACTAAATTCTCATAGATATTTATCATAATCTGATGAAGACAAAAGGGCAATAACTCAATAAATGTTCATCGAATACTAGTCAGATTTGAAACAGTCCAAGATCTTATCAATATATATGATCACACCAAGATTCATTAAAATCAATTGAAAACTGTAGTCTCTATTGTATTCACAAACAAATTTGTCAAGGGCAGTAATTCAAAGATAGCTTGCCAGGCAAGGTAATATACGCCCAGTGGCAGCTTTGATTTTGAATAAAAATATTTAGCTGTATAGTAACAATCACCAGTATGAAATATTCAACCTTCAGTCATACACTTTTTTTTAACTCTCGTGAAAACTCTAGAAGACAAATATTCAATCTTCAGCACGGTACTGAATATTAAAACCAAGTTTTGTCGTTTTCAAAAACAAGGGCAATAACTCATACTAAATATTTTTCAATTTTTCTGATTTTATATAGAGTTTATCCTTGGGTGATTACAAACACTCACACCAAGTTTTGTCAAAAACCATCAATAATTGTGCCTTCTAGAGTGTTTACAAACTAGAAATTGAACACGTTATCAAGAACAAGGGCAATAACTAATACTAAATATTTTTCAATATTTCTGATTTTAAATAGGGTTCATCCTTGGGTGATAACAAACACTCACACCAAGTTTCATCAAAATCTCTCATGAATTGCACTTTCTAGAGTGTTTACGAGCGTTTCAAGAACAAGGGCAATAACTCATACTAAATATTTTTCGATTTTTCTGATTTTCAATAGGGTTCATTCTTGGGTGATTACAAACAACCATACCAAGTTTCATCGAAATTATCAAGATCTCATGAATATAAATCACCACACCAAATTTCAATCAATTTGAATAAAAACTGTAGTTTATATTGTGCTCACAAACAAATTTTGACACGATTTTACTAAGTCAATAATTCAAAAAAACGACATATCGAAAAATCATCATATTCGAACTTGACCAAGATTTCATGAATATAAATCATCACACCAAAGTTTAATTCAAAATCGAATGAAAACTGTAGTCTCTATTGCGATCACAAACAAATTTTGACGCGTTTTTACCAAGTCAAGGGCAATAATTCAACAATAATTCATCTACCCACTTTCCTGATACATTTTCAGTATATCTAGGGGGGTCACCTATCAGTGTCAATACCAAAAATCTAATTTGTGCAAGATATTGTTGATTTAATCAGACACATATTATTTACTTAAATTCTGACATAAACTCTCACCTCTATCGCCAACAAATATTGATGCATTTTTACTAAGTCAGTAACTCAAATTCTATTGATCGAAAAATTGTCAAATTCAATTTTGACTAAGATCTCATCATTATAAATGATCATACCAAATGTCATTTAAATTGGATGAAAACTGTACTCTCTATTGTGTTCACAACCAAATTTTGACACGTTTTTCACAAGTCAAGGGCAATCCACAGCTGTACCTGAGCTGTAACTCATTACAACCATGTTGTTTGAGATGACAAAGAAATTCAAAGCAATGAAAATTATCTCATATCATAAGGAAAATCAATGACAAGATATGACTTTTGATGATCATGAATTCAAACAGAACTCTTTAAGAAGTGTCATCTGTCATCACTCATCATGATAATTAATAGAAATGAAGTTTGTCATGACTGTCAATACAAAAGATTGAGCAAAAATTGTCAGTAGACAATATCCATTAAGCTTATATCTTATTCTGATGAATAAAATATATTTAAAGGGACGGACAGTGGGCTATTTTTTCAAACTAATAAATTTACTCACTATTTCATTCTAACAATCAATCATGGATAATTCTGGACACACATGGAATTAAAGACTCTAATTTAGACCGTAAGCTGTGAACACTGATTGGCTTAGCTAAAATATTGCCATTTCTGAGATGAAAGTATGATTGGTCAAAAACAAAATGGCGCATCTGTCCCTTTAAGACAAAATTAACATTAAGAATCGAGATTATAGCTGAAAGAGTGGATATTGTAAATTGCAAATATCGGGATGATTATATGCTATATAGTTTATGCTGAAAAAATGTCACCATTCAGATTCAAGGTAACAAATTTTGCAATCATATTTCATACCATATGGAGTTCAGTATAAATGTTAAAAGTTTTAAAATTGTAAAATTATAGTTCAATGTCATATTTTGCTTATAAAGTTTGTTGGCGCCATAAATATAATGACAGTGTCCTATCTTAATAATCAATTAAGCTGATATTCGATTTAACAAGACCTTGTTGGAAATATAATCCTTTTTATAGTTTGACTATTCATTACCTATAACAATAGCATAGCCCCACAAAATATATTTATGGACAAGCTATATGAAATATAAAGATCAGAACATTTCACAAGACTATTGATTTACTATCTGGAAAACATTCATTCACAAACAGTAATTACAAAAACGATGTAGGCTACTATCTATCAATCAATATCTAGAATTGTATAGATTTTTATATACTGGCATTATTAAAACCCTTTTAATGAATTACTGGTAGATGGTTCCAGTGGCCCAACTAACTAACTTACAGTAGCATACAGAACTTACTGTCTATTATTTTCATTACCGGGTATCAGAAATCACAATACTTTCAAATGCATGTCCTCAGTCCAGAGAAAAATTAGTATATAATCTTTAAATGCAGTATTACTAATACAGAGTGGCCTTATTCTGTTAAATGCAAATTTTTCTATAATTTTATGTTCTCCAATTTCTATCCACATTCTAATACGTTTATCAACTATTTTCTTTTGAAGCTGATATCATTGTCATATCAGAATAGCATAAAATGATTCAGGTTTCTCAATAGCCTTAGAATGAAAAGGAACTTTCAGTGAGCTTATTTTGCTGATTGTTAAAATCTTGGAAGTGGAGACCTTCTTGTCATAAGCTCTATAAGATGCTATTAAAGAAAGTAATCAGACATTGAACAACATTAAATTGATCAACATAAATAAATGTATGACATGATACTACATAAATCAATATTGTAGTAAGAATCTGCAGAAACCTGTTTATGATTGATTGGAACTGGAGTGGAAGGTAGACCTATTGACAGTATACAGGTAAGCTCAACAGGGATTATCTCCCCTGGAAATCAATTAACAAAAAACACGTCAGGCCAAAATAATTCATTCTTATCAAATATTACACTTTCTGCCAAACTTACCAGGTAGAGGACGGTGTCAACCACATCCTTGTTTGACACCTGCTTCACTTTGATCAACCCAATCAACAGTCCAAATTTCAGCTCATCATTCCCTTTTATTTTTAAAATATCCGAGACGGTTTTCACGTCGGCATCACTCTCTTCCTTCGGTTCGGACATTATTGCACTAAGAGCTAAAGTCTGATTATCACTTAAACTTTGGAAATCACCAGACACTGGAAAGAATGATTGTTTACACCCATTTACAAGCTTCCATTGCAGCCGACTTGGGATAAAATGAACTTCCGGTTTTCACGCGCAACAATCATTGCGAAAGTTGATTGGTTGATTAATCTAAAGCCCGTTAATTACATTATTTAGTTGGACGAATATTAAAATTCTATTTTTGAGTAATCGTGATCTACAACTTATGGTACAAACAAATTTATAACTTAGTATCCCAGATATTTTCAAAGATCCTTTTATTTATTTTTCTCCTCAGCCGCGCCTCATCTGTCATCAATTCTTCCGGTTTCAGTTTTTAAGGCGAAATCGCTCTGTATTTAAGAATTTGTGGAATTTCAGTTGTTTAGACTACTTAACTCGTGTAAGAAGTTAAAATGTCTACCACAGAAGTAGAAAGGGTGAGTAAAGAAGATTTGATTCGATTGATCTTTTTGTAAAGGTATCAGGATCGTCTTACTTAGAATAACAAAGAAAATTTGTCATTTTTTTAAATACTTCCTAAATTTTTCTTTTGATTTTCTGTGATTTTTTTAAGTCCTTCAAATTATTCAACTAGCATAAGTAACATGATCATGAACTGCATGTTTTTTTTTACGGAATAACACAACTATTAAACTAAACATCAATGCCTTATCGCTATACATTTACGTGATGCTAAACAATGGATAATGATTGCATGATGGTTGTCAAGGTTAGGAATACTTGTAATCAAATAAATAGAGCATTGACTTCAAGATCTATGAAGGTTTAAGGTCTATACAGTCCTCTTGCATCCTTCAGTTTCATAAAATTACAGTTTTTATTAATCTGTAAGCTTAATTATAGGTTTACACGAGTTGGACTTGGACCTGTGGATTTACTGACCTGGGTTGACTACGGAGTTCAAAACTCTGTGGTCAACTCTGATCGGGATTACATTAGGGCAGTCTGCTAAGGCGCAATTTCGGTGAAGGCGGGTCAAATTGGAGTTCGACCCTATTGAAGACTAGAGTCGGCAACTCCAGTGCGGCCCTGGAGTCACCTCTCGGAGTTTTCGACGTGTGAACAACTGCTCCCGGGCCGACCCTCGGTGGACCCGGTGATTTAACTCTCGTTTAAACAGCCTTTATGTTATCTTACAGGTAACCATATTATGGTCAAGACTGGAACTTGCGTAGAGTTCAAAGCCCGGTGAGATTCGCAATCGGTTCAACATTAGTCTTAGAAACGGTCAACTTTTTAGCTAAGCTAATAAGTAAAAGTGATCAGTTCACCATCAAAATTTGAGCCTTCTAATCCATGTTTGTTAAGAAATATCTGCGATTGAAAGTCTCATCTTTTCTTGTTTACCTTTTAGACCCTTAATCACACTACCAGAACGTTAAATCTAACTGGGCATGTTGGTTTTGATAGTTTACCAGACCAGCTAGTCAACAAATCTGTAGCTCAGGGATTCTGTTTCAATATTTTGTGTGTTGGTAAGTAATGCATGGAATTTTTTGTTTATATTTAAGCTTATGTTGACTCTTCAAAATGAATTTTTTTTCATTCCATGTAAAGAAAAAAGTAAAGTACCGTACCTTATGATCAACTAGAATGTAAAGGAAGTTAAAATTCATTATGATTTCATGAGATTTATGATATCAATTTCCTTATTTTGTTTCAGGAGAGACTGGTGTAGGCAAGTCTACAATGATGGATACATTATTCAACACAAATTTTGATTCAACACCAAGTAGTCATGATTTACCAGGAGTTAAACTTAAGGCCCACACTTATGGTAAGTGTTTGTTTTCTATACTTGTTAACTAAGATTATTTAGAAATTTATTTAAAAAAAAGATATGTTGTTTGCAGCTTTCTGAAAGGTATGAATCTGAGTTTATTAATACATTAAGTCATTTGAACATTTATGTTTTATGAAGAAAAGTTTTCATTTAAAATTTCTGTACGCAAGCTATCTTCTTCTTTCTCCATTAGTCCAGTCCACCATCTGGTGTTTAACCGAACATGTACCTGTTGCTAGCATCGCTCTTTTGATATTTTGATAATAAAATCAACATTTTGATAGATATTGTTTACAATTTTGCTTGCTATTATTAGACCTTAGAGAAAGTAATGTTCGAATGAAACTTAACATTGTTGATACTGATGGTTTTGGTGATCAAATCAACAAGGAAGATAGGTAAGTGCTGTTCAGGTTGACTTTATTTTTCATCCATTTTTCATCCCCCATCCTTCATTAAAATTTCAGATTTACGTGAAAAGAATGTGAATTTAAAAATGACGATTGTGGACTCGCAGGGTTTTGGTGATCAAGTAAACAAAGAGGATAGGTGAGACTTGTGTGTGGGCATAGATGCAGCTTTCTATATTCTTTTCCTCTGTCTGACATCAAATATCTTTCTTTTCTCTTATTTATCATCCCTTATTTATTTTTTAACTTTTTTGTCCAGTCTTTTGGTTATTCTATATCTTTTTACATTATTGCAGTTTCTGCTTTAGCTTTGGTTTTGGGATATTATATTGTTTATTTACATTATAACATATAAGCTTACCATACCTGTAGTATATTTATTTATGTTCCCATTATTATAATTATAATCTGTTTTGTTATGTTTAGTAATTAGCTTTTGTGTTTATTCATATTGAAGTCTGAGGTTTGCTGCTGAATATTTTTGGTCTTTATTCTGAAATATTTTTCTTGTTTATTTATACAGACACTTTAGAATTTTGAACCATTTCTTACATTGATCATTGATTGGAGTTGTTTTGTTTGTTTTTTTGTACAGAATATTTAATTTTTCACATTTTGATTGTTTCACTTATGGCCAAATGCTTCTTCAACAAATTCATTCATCCACATATTAATTCATCCATATATTCTTTCACTTTTGTTGTATATCTGATGTTTTTTTCTACTGTTATAGTTGGAAGGCTATTGTAGAATATATAGATACACAGTTTGATGCCTATTTACAAGAGGAACTGAAGATCAAGAGATCCATTCATAACTATCAAGATAGAAGAATTCATTCATGTTTATACTTCATTGCTCCAACTGGTCATTCGTAAGTACTCTAGCTCACTAGTTCAATCTACTTTTGTAACATCCCAAAATATGCCTTATTGGCAATAGCCACTATTCTTGTATCCCAGAATTTGATTTTATTGGATTGTAGACCAGGGAAGTCTACACACTATAGCTGTGTTCACAGACTTTCTGTCATAGCCTCTGATTGGCTGTATTCACTAGCATACAATCCAATCAAATTTTTTCATCTACAAACTTCCATGATACAAGAAAGGTGACTACTCCAGTCTAGGTATAAGAAAAGACCGACATTGTGAAGATGAACTGTCCTAGCATTGTCCTTTTTCTTATATATGTTAATAGCAAGTTGAAAAAAATCAAATACACACTTGTTGGATAATTCTTTAACTACTATAGTCTGCAATTTCAAATCTCATACCATGAATGATTTGGATTGTATTCTGGATTTGATTCTATTTGCTTGTATTTGTATTTGAAATTCTTTCTTTTTCATTGAATGCTATCCTGTCAGAGGTTGCAGTGAATTCAATCAATTTATTGTGCATGATATAGAATGACTATTGTGTAAGCTTACCTATTTTATATGTACCTTTGATATAGTTGACTTGTGAATTATAAATTGCCATTTTGACATAAGGACATTTTGTTTCAATTGTAATTGCAGATTAAAAGCATTAGATTTACTAACAATGAAGAAATTGGACAGTAAAGTAAATATAATACCTGTTATTGCCAAAGCAGATACCATTACTAAAACTGAACTCCATAAATTCAAAACAAAGGTAAATACAATATTTTATAAATAGGCATACTTTCCAGTGATTATTTATTTTTTGATCTTTTGTCGGCAATTTAAGTCAGCATGCGCAACCAAAAGTTCTAGGGTCACAAACCCACATGTTACTATCAAAACAAAAATTTACTTTGCAAAGATTTATTTGTTAGAAAAAACATCTTCATAAGTGTGGAATTAAAACAGGGCCTTGTATTTTCGGACTCTCCTTCAGTCGATAACTGCCAAAATATCTATCAGAGGCTGGAATAGAGGTAGATGTTTGAGATTAAGTTTATTTCTGCTGATTTTTAGAAGGCTGCTATTGTAATCAGTGTATTGATGATAAAACTGATTGCTATATATTTCAGATCATGCATGAATTATCATCTAATGGTATTAAGATTTATCAGTTCCCTACTGATGATGAAACTGTTGCTGAAACCAATGCTGCAATGAATGTAAGTGCATTAGGAGGAAGTCTGTGATAACATAACTTAGTCTCTCAGTTCTCTATCTAGCATGTGATATCTAACTCATTGGTTATCTCTCATTAAGTGAGGATCAAGTTTTGAAGATGGAATATTCCATCTCAGATCAAATAATTGTTTCATATAAGATTTTCTAAATGCCCTTTCATATATATTTCATTGTATACTGTTCTCTTTTTCATCTAGGGTCTATTACCATTTGCCATTGTTGGATCCAATGATGAAGTTAAAATTGGTAATAAAATGGTTAAAGCAAGACAGTATCCATGGGGAACAGTACAAGGTAGCATCTGTTATAATTGTTTATTTTCATCAACAAGGTTTGTCAACAAACCTCTGATCCTAAATAGAGAAAATACACTAGGTGCCTAATAAATACGAACCAATTTTCATCAAGCTTGGTGAATGTCTATCATTTCACTAATCAATTTGTCAAAGTAGTTGTATTTGGTTGTTATCCAATGTTTGTTTGCCAAGTAGCATAAGCATATCATAATCTTATTTTATTTTGTTAGTTGAAAATGAGAATCATTGTGACTTTGTTAAACTGAGAGAAATGTTGATCAGAACAAATATGGAAGATCTAAGGGAAGCAACTCACAAAAGACATTATGAACTCTACAGGCGCCATAAATTAGAAGAAATGGGATTCTCAGATTCAGATGCTAAGAGGTAAAATTATCTTTAGAATTTATACTGTGGTAATTTTATAGTTGAGTTTTGATGCTTTAATGGATCTATATGTTATAAGAAAATATCAGTCCTAGCATCTAAAAATTGGGCTTGCCACTTGCATTAGTAATGAGTTTATGAGCTTATATGCTCATTTCTGCATCAGAAAACCAAGGATAATCTTCTGAATCATGCTTAGACATGATATTGACATTTTGACATATAGTATTTTTAAACAGATTTCTTATATGGTAATTTTTTAGCTTGACCAGAAGATTTAAAGCAGAATAAGCAACCTTACTTCCTAGACATTTCTATATTCTCTCTGTATTTTATTATAGTTTATCAGAGACATATGAATTGAAACGCCAACAACATGTTACTGATTTACAGAAGAAGGAAGAAGAAATGAGACAGACATTTGTTATCAGAGTGAAAGAAAAAGAAGGAGAGTTGAAAGATTCTGAGAAAGATGTAAGCTGATTGTTTGCCTATTTTTGAACAGTGGGATCCGGAAAACTAGGTCCTGTTTTATGACGTTTTCCTAATGTTCCAAATTTTCAATCAACAACCATTAAAAATACGGAAAGATTTGCACTAATGCTGTTAAACAATAACAGATAACAGATACTAGGTATCTTTCAGATAGAAAAAATCAGCCCTGTTAAATCATGTATGTTAGTATTCCTCCCAAAAGGAAGATAATTGATGCTATGGTACACAAATTGAGTTTGAAGTCAACATTCAATTCAAAGGGTCACCAATTGTGCCATCTAATACACTCATTCATATCTTAAATTGATCTGATCTTATTATAGTATATTTCTTTTTGTAGCTTCATGTGCGTTTTGATGGGTTGAAGAAACAACATACAGAAGAGAAGAGAAAGTTAGAAGACAGTAAAAGACGTCTAGAGGAAGATATCAATGCTTTCAATCAGCGTAAAGTGGCTGTTGCTCAAGCTTCAACTCTCGGTAAAAAGAAGAAGTAAACTTAAACATCTCATGAACTTTGATTTTAAATGAAAATTGTCACAAGTTTTATTTCTCATTATTTTCACTTGCCATCACCTTCATTAGTACTTCAACTTGGTGCTAATAACACAATTTTATATCAAAATATTATATTATTGAATCTCAACATCTACGCAGCATTGTAACATGAGAATATGTTCAGTTTATGGTAAACAATAGTAATCCTTGAGCCTGATTTAAAAACAGCGAACTTGTATGATTTTTAGATAAGGATATCAATGTGGACAATGGTATCAAGTCAATTTTTGAAATTAATCATAGAGAATAGCAAGTTACAATGTTTCTGATAAGAGGCTTTTTGGGTTTAAACCTCATCTAAATGGTAACTTTTGGCTTCCTCTCTGTTAAAACAGCTATTGATAATATTTTGTAAGTCTGTCGAACAGATCAATAAAAATTTTCTATTTATTGTTTTTATAATATCATATGTAATTGTATATTGTCATATATTTTAATTTGTAAGCTTTTTTTTTTTTTTGATCAATACTCAAAATTTAATTTGGCTACATTATGCTTCTAAAGTCACATTTAACAAGTCCTGAAGTAATATTCAATTTGAGTATTTCTCTTTGATTTTGTTCAGTATATGTCATTTTTGTGAGAATTGTGACCAGTAAGTCTTCCATATTGAACTGTGTTTATCTGTATGTTATTTGGTTTTCTTTTGAATTATTTCACAAGATCAGACTGCTGTTTAGTATCTTGCAAATTTGTAATTTGAAATAATATACATTTAAAAAATTGATTCAAAGCTAATGAAATGGAGCTTTGTGTCTTACTTTTTGCACTATTTATGGCAGTAGGCAATGATATGCCTTATGTATTTAAGAAATTTTGCAAGGGCTGGGGCATTAACGATCACTGCTGCAGAGGAAAAGATATTAGTGGTCAGTGCAGTTAGTTATTAGTTAACAGAAGAAACAGTGATAGAAGGAAATTCCCACGACTTATCACTAAAGCTTTTTTTGGTATTTTTTTTCTGGAAACTGAAAGTCATGTTGACAGAAATGGTAGGCTATTGTCCGATATCAATTGAATATCCATAGCATCTCGTGTTTTGAAAATCAGACAATAAGATCAAACCTCTGAGTTCAACCTGGAGCCTCCAGGCCTGGCACAATGTTTGAATATGTTTATCTTTTTTAGTAAGTGCTCCAGTATCCTGCCATTACAAGTATTCCTGTAACAACATGTTATCCTGCATGTGAATATAAAAAAATCCATAAAATGTTTAGGTTTGCACCTGCATTTGTTTATTTCTAGTCAAGAGTGACTGATAATTTAGGGATTCCAGTATTAAGGACCAAAACATAATACATGTAATAGCTTCAGTTTGTCATTGTTATGTATACCTATATTATTTTATGTGTAGTTGTTTATAGCATTTAGTTAGGGAGGCATGTATTTTTTTTACTGCAATAAACATTTAATTTGTATATCATTTCCTGAGTTGATTTTCATGCCAATGTAGAAATGTGTACTTTTAGCATTATTTCATTCTGCCAGTTCATCTACAATCAATATTAATCCCGAGCCTGTTTCACAAAAACTCAGAGATATAATGCATGTACACTAAATTAAGCTAGATGTAACACCGAGGATTAAAATGTTGAGGTAAATACTTAAGGGCTAAATTTAAAACAGACTGGCAAAACTATTTTTTTATTTCACAACAAAATTAATTTGATTAACTCCAAAAATGTAAAACGTCATAAAAAAAAACGTCTCTAGGTAATCCCTGAGAGTAATCTCTGATTTGAATCTTAGGATGTTCAAATTCAGATCAATAATATAATATGATAAGATGCCATTGGATGTTGATAAACTCGAGAAAAGTTGGTCCAGAATATACAGACGTCATGGATATTCTTAGACATACACAATTGTTTCCAAATCCAACTTTTTATGTTCATTCGTTCATTTCATGTAGGTTACAGCCATATATATATAATGTATATGAAAAACTTATTCTTCTGTATACCATGTGCACAAGATTTTTGACTACCCATAGTTTTTTCTTGGTATCTTCTTCAACCCACTTTCAATCTTCTTTTACAACCATAAAAACATTTTGAAGGAATGTGGTTACATTGTCTGAAAATGGGTAAATCAAAATAAGATTATTTTTCAGTCTATAGGCAGTAAGTATGTGGCAGTATGTTTTTTACATCTTAGTACTTCCGGTCTTGGGGGAAATATAATGTAATATTTTCTTTTCAGCGATAACTTATAAACTTTTAAACAGGGATGCTAAATTTTCATCTACCAACCAACATTAAAGAGGGTTTCCAAATTTCATAGAAGAACTTAGTTTTAGTGGAATTACAGGAACCACAGATGTTATTGAATCTTGGAATGGTGCTATTTAGTCTCGATTCTTCAATGGCATTTATTGAATCTTATACTTACTTAGCTTCCTCTGTAAACAAACTGGTTTATCTTTCCAGAGCACAGTAAATAAATAATAAGGCACACCCAGAGCTATTGTCAATATAGCATAGCCACTTTCTGTAGGTTTTTGATAAATTGTTAAACAGGCTATCATAAGACTAGTTATAAACATTATTATTGGTATACTGATATGAAGCTGAAAATTATAATTGAAAAATCAATTCAATTAAAATAAATAAGACGAGAGAGCTTCACAAGATTTTAAACTGAGGTTGGGTTCATGTACTCCAAGGTTCAAGAAGGTGGTGAATCTATAACCTGCTGAAAAACTTTAGTCTGTGTTTCATTCCAGATGGTAATTCATTAGTTGACTATTTTGGTGCATGTCTACTGATTTGTAGTTGATCATTTACAAAAGTTGTCCCAGAATTTCGTTGAAGAAAGACAGTTAAAAGAATGGTGAGAAAATATTACGCATTTACCGTTGATATAAGAGAAATTTCAATCTCGTGTTCACTTACTTTGAAGGGTCTATCTAGTTTATTTTTCCACCTGAGTTTTAAGAGTGCAGCTAATGTTGCTGATATAACTGTTGCTGAACCAAATCCTGATAATTCAATTAGGTAAAACACTTCTTCAAAATATTGTAATATTAGCACTATTAAACACTGTAATATATAACATATAGCAGAATAAGAAAAGTCATATACAGACTGCCTACATTTTGGTCTACAACGATCCCATTTTTCAATCTGCATCATCTGAAGACTTATGCCTCTAACCAAGCTCTTGGCATTTCGTTTTAATTTACTTGTTGAAACTGAAAGGTCCAGGTTAATACTAGCTTTGTTATGGATTAGCTTTGTTAATCTTATCCTACACCAGACTACTAAATACCATTCATTTGTATCGTGAACTTACGATAAACATAAGAGAAGGAGAAGGTGTTTTATTCTTTATACTGAGCATACCAATAAATTGAGGCACGTGGTTATTATTTGCACCCATATAGATGAGCCTACAAACAACAAAATTATAAATATATGATGACCATTTGCCATTTACCCATGATACCCATTTCATGTTATTGGCCAACATCTCACTTTTTGGTTTTTGGGCATTAATTTTTAATAAGATATTCATGAGAAATTTCTGAAGTTTTTAAAATAATGGCCACAAGAAGTATATAGAGATAACGTATATCTACAGACACACCCAAACACAGCTGGACACATGCATTCCTACCTGGAAAATGCTAACATGGAGCCGTTTAGCGTACCAACTACTGCTGAAGCTATGAGAATTGACATCACAAAGGATCCTTTCCCCAGGGTATGTTCAGCGAAAGTCTGAATGTAAGACAAAAACATTTCAATCCATAAAAAAGTACAATTCCGAAAGAAAGATGGAAAATAAAATCTTCATCAACTCCAAGGAGAGAAGTATCTACACATCTTCACAATGTATGGCTACAAAATGTACGAACTTCGTACATATACCTTGACTGCAATAACCATTATTCTTTTATCACGGAGTACAGCCAATCAGAGCCCTCGACAAAAAGACTTTAAACATTATGGATTTTTGTTCACAGCCTTTAATTCTGTCGAGGGCTCTGCTTGATCATATTCGCTAGTGTACAATCCAATCAAATCGCCCATTTACAAACTTCCAAGATACAAGAAAGGTATATGTACGAAGTTCACAAAACCTTGACATTGTGAAGATTGATGCCACTGTGCTACTACCCTTTAGGATAAAAATAGGAAAAGCAAGGCAATTCCATTAATCAAAATCTCAAAGCTGATAATATGTTGTTATATTTTCTGGCAAGAAATGATCTGCGGTATAGCTAAATAATAATAATTCATTCTTTGAATTCAGGTTGATAAGTTATATTTATAAAACTTACTACAGCCACGGCGGATGATTTGATCATTTGACTTGGTGTTAAAACAGCAAAATATCCTATATTAACAGCTATATACACCAGGGTTACGATTGACAATGATATTATGATAGACAGGGGAATGTTTCTGAAACAATATAACATCAATTGTAAATTCATTATTGTAATGTCCATTAACTGTACCTTGCGTTCTCATGTAAAGGAAAAATGGATTAGGCTTTACGTTTCTGTATTGGCAAATATATCTTCTCTTCAAAATAAATTTTTGAAAACACAAACAACTGTATCGTTAACCGCCTGGTAAGGATGTAAATGTGAAATATTCATGTAGATTTCCTGATCTTAAGAATGGCTGTTGGCAACTCTACACTTTCTTTTAGAAATAGAAACAAATTTTACCGTTGTGGTTTGACTATCTCAGAAGCAATCATACATACATTGTTCCTGAAAAGATAATCACATTTTCGCATCACTAGTTTCTTACGTTCTATTGCTTAGTATATCTTTCGAAACTTGGGGTACAAATAGGGGACAGACTTACTTGGTGGACTGGGAGGGGGGTGAGATTGAGATTCAAGAACCGACCATTTTTCTAGGAGGGCAAATACCTCCCTGTACCCTAACTCGCGCCGCCACTGGTTGAAAATGGACCTTATTAAGGAGATCGCCATTATTCTTATACAAAAATGTTAGGATGCAGGTGTCCAAAATTTATAGAAAAAGATAGTAAAACGTTTCCAGTTCAAATCTTACCATCCAGAGTATGCAAATATTCCCGAATAAAAACCAATGGTAATTTTCCCTGGACTGTAGTCACTGCCTTCAAATGCATTCTCGAATCGCCCAGTTTCTCCTGAAAAGAAAGTGCAAAGCATTACTGTATGGTAAATAAATGGAGATCTCACATCTAGTGTTCAGTGAGTGAATTTGACATAGAGCAACACTTACCCACATAATTTTATTTCTACCTTTCTAGGGTTAAGTAATTTTCACAGCCTGTAGCACACGAGGCCTCTGTCTATTGTCACATCTGTAGGTCTAGACACATTTTCCATGTCAGTCCCTCCATCCTGCATCATCGACAGGGGGAAACCGGATTTAATAGTCGAAGATATAATTCTCTGGGAGGTTTAAATCTTGGACCTCTAGGTTAGCGAGCAAGCGTTTTAACTCACTGAAGCAAACTATAACATAACTTCACATTGTCGAGCTATCATGACCTGCGCTTTATATCTCGACTTTATCGGGCTCCTTTCTTCACACAATGCAGCGATTTACTTGCATTGTATGAAATTCAGAGTCATAAATATAAAGACCGTAAAGAGTACGACTTTTAACTTACAAACTTTTTTCTAGTGCTGTGATTGACTTTTTTAATAGGGTATAATCTAATCATATTGCATCAACTTCCGTGATACTGACATTCTATTCTGATGATCTATCAATTTTCATGATATAAGTTCGTGATCGTACCTTTGATGATCCATACAACACCAATAATGACTATCCCAACCAGAGCTGTTAAAGCTGCACCCGTTGTTACCGCTTGTAACTTAGTCACCCATTTCACGTTTCGACAATTCAATGTTGTTAACAACGCTGAAATAAAGGTTGACTCTTTAGGACTTTCAAGCTCAGTTACAATGTTCTTTGGTTGTTAAAATTGTGACTGGGGCAGAATCCAGTGAACATTTTAACCGTGGTGAGAGCAATTCCTATACCCCAAAAACTTGAATGAGATTCTTTTAAGCTATATGGAAAGCTGTTGTTGATGCAATTGCTTTCTCTGATCAGAATGCAGCATTGTGTGCAAGCGTACACCTATATATAATTATACAAAATATATAATATTAGTTGTGTGATCTGTCAGCACCAAATCCCTCAATCCTCTACCATTATCTCAACGAGATCTCTTCTCTTGTGAGAAATTTAAACTTACTGTATATTAATACACTGAGTAATCTTATAACGATAACGGGTACTTCACATGTCATATATAACGGTTGTAAAATATAGGTCGAGAATACCAAACATAGAGCAGCATAACCCACACAGTAATTTATAGTAATATATATCCATAAGCATAAAAATCCAGCAAAATCACCGAATGCAGTGTAAATATACATATATTCACCACCAGTTACTGGCATAGCAGCTCCCAGTTCCGCGAAACACATAGCACAGAGACCGGAATAAAGTCCACATGCTGCCCATAGAATTATGGACATTCCAACTGACTGTACATTAAGGAGGATTCCTACAGGAGAGACAAAAATTCCAGCCCCTATCACAGTTCCAACTATAAGAGTAACACAGTCGAATAACGATATCTGCTTTTTTAATTCCACCGCTTGGCCGGTAGCAACCGCAGTTGATGTATTGCGTTCGCCCATGGTCGTAGTGTAAGATGAGTCGTTGTGAGAGCAAAATGTACTTTCAAATTCAGATTAACCGTTATGAAATCGATAATCTAGTTATTAGTTTCCCTTGCATTTCACATACACATTTACCTGTTACAATGTATTCATATCACAAAGCGTTATGAAGAACGCTATATAATGTAAACAACCAATACAAGAGCCTATAATAAACAAAGGCTCTGCCAATACTCGCCTTTGACCTTTATCAGATTATATCAGCATTTTCAAGTCTTATCCACTTAAACAAAACGACTAATTAGGTCACGTTTTTGATAGTTGATACCTACAGAAAGATGATACATTCAGTTCAATCCAGTAAAATTGTTGAAACATGCTGCGCAATTTAATTCCTTATTGAAAACACATTTCAAGGTCCTTTGTTTTTAGAAAATGGTGTCATGTGGAGGGAAGGCAGTCCAACAATAACATATCTGTGGTTTATTACACGCTCCATGTTATGTCGTCATAAACATCATGACGACAGATGTGGTATATATCATAATGGTTGTATTTAAGATAAAACCATATTATATAACTGAGCAATGGTTTATGCTTGGAAAACATTCAACAATGAATAAGTATTAGTGCATGTTATATTACTGCATAATCAAACAAAGATATTTATGAAGATAGATAGATATTTATTGTATTGTTAACCCTTTTTGGGCAGCATACATCATGATACAAGATAATACACAATAATAAGTGATACAAATATGACACCCTGACATCAATTAATAGTAATACAAAAAAATATAGTGTATATACATAAACAAGTTTGAAAAAAGCAACATCATAAAAAAATAATGCATTAACAAATACACACCATATGTGCAACAGCATGACGGACTAGCCTATATCAATGAAATTAATATCTTAAGAACGTAATTCAGTTATTTTACCCTGACCCTGGAATGAATAGATCGTGTTCCTAGGATGCGGGATTATCATTCCTAAGCAATTATTTGTATTTCTGACACTCTTGAAAGATAAGATGTAGCTTACCAGTAGGGGCGTATCTAAAAAAATACCCGAGGGTGAGGTTAAAAATGAGAGGTGTCTCTCCGAGGCGATGCCCCTTGAGGCAGGCGAACTTGGGACCAACGGATTTCAGATGGTGTGAGATCAATTTTCACTATAAAATAAAATAAGACCTTCTCACAGGACAGAGTGGGTGGGGGCACACTAAATACGCTACTCGCCTACTTATCAGAACCCGAGAACATAGTATTCGCAATTGATGTGGTTTGTATTCAGATAATTCTCATCTATTTCACAATTGCTTCCCTTTGACCATTGAATAACCGACCATTTTCGGAAACAGGTGACCGTTAAGTGACTTATATGGTCAAAAATCTCTTCACACAGATAAATGTAATATTGAATATAAAGCTATGGGTGTATATTTTTTAAAATAATAAGTTATAGTAAATATCAGTGCAGAAATAGAGAAATTATCACAGTTTTTCAGTTTATAGTAACATTTGACCTTGAGAAAAGTCTTTCAAGGACAAATGCCGATGTCTGCCAGAAGAGTTTCCCGCCTTTAAATCCACCTAAATGGTTGACGATCTGATGAATAGTCATCAAGGTAATTAAGGATTTCATTGTCTTTTGACCATCAATCACCAAAGGTTGAATGCTGGTTATTGACGATAGGGGATTAGTGAGTGTTTAGGGCGGGGTTGGTAGTCATGGAAGGGAACGTAACTAAGATGGATGCAATACTGAGATTATTACTTCAAATTTCAGGTATTGATTATCGGTTAATAAGAAATGCATCTGATATGATATCTTAAGATTGCAACCGTTGTGTATTAAAGGTGCACAAACAGAAACATATCGAGCTCTTTGAGGAAAATCACAAATATTATTCTCCTTTTGGCAGAGTTGGCATAAAATCTTTTGTACGGTAACTGAAAAGAAAGAGTTATTCAATGCAAATCAGTCTTAAATAGTCAAAGGCAAAGATAATGTTTTAGTATTGTGGAAGAAGGCAAAGACCTGATGCCTTGTGTAATTCATAGAGGGGGGTATATCTGACTGATGGATAGATTTAATAGTAACCAAGGACTCGTATCTATAGAATAATATTGATCAAGGCTTTTTGCTCTGGCTACTACTGAATTTGTGATTACAGTTGAAATCTTGTTTTGAAAGCTTTTTTGTGCTTTATATCTCTTTTAATCACATGACTGTTGCATTTAATATTTGGAAGACCTAGAACAAGTAGAACAGATTATAATAATTATGCTCAATTGATAACCCTGGGCATAAGTTTAGGTCCAGGGGTGGGTCATTTGGCCAGTCCTATTCCCCTCAGTTCTGTGAAAGGTCTTCTTTTGATGTGAAATTTAAGCCTCTAAATGCTCAAAATTCACCTAAGGCCAAACGAAATCCATTGGCTTCTAAGATTGCAAACAGTACTATTCTGAAATTAGCTGTACAGTTGTAAACTTCAATGACATGGCCAAGTATTTCCGCATCCTGAAATTCAAACCTCTTTTAAAACCATAAGACATCTTGATTCAATAATAGTCATATAAATGTTAAAACATTTGATAATTGTTTATTTAAAGTTTTATAAACGGATGTAATAGATATCTTCTAATCAAAGTAACATGTCTTCTATAATATTTGATGTTTTATGTTAATTACACTTTTATTTTCTATTTAAAATCTACTTTGAATCACATCTAAAGCCTTTCTTTGGGATAAAATTTTGTGGTTTTATGTCACTCCAAATTTGTAAGAGCTCCAATGAGTAAACGAACTCACCTTTTCTTTCCTCACTTATCAAGTAGTCTTAAGTTTTAGTCCTCTTCATCAACAATTTAGGTAGGAAATACTTACATTAAAAGGGTTTCAGTCAATAAACAAAACTGAAGACAGAAACTACAGGCTTAAAGAAGTTTCCCTTGTCAGTCAGTCAACATGAGCAGATTTCTGATATCTTGACAGGATACTAGCAACTGGAATCAATTGTAATAGTCACAGATTCCATCTGTTCATGTCCAGTATGGGATTCAAGGCCTTGGTGTGCAGAGTGGACTAAACTCTGCAATTAGACAGATGGCACCAATTGTTAGCAGTCTTTGAAAAAAAATTAAAAACTGAATTTATTTCAACACAATTTTCAATGCAAGGTTCAAGGCTTAGTTTACTTTTTATTGTTTTTACTTGAAAATACCTTAAAGAAGTCAAGATATTATTTAAAGGCATGTGTTCCAATCTTCAAAGTGAATTGATATGATTGGTACTATTTATTTCCTTCAATCTCATGTTTTAAGAAATGATTTTGGTCAGATGAAAGTTGTATTGTGATCTGAAATTGCTATATGTTGGCATATATCTCATAACAAATCAAATGGTGCAGAAAAGTAGGATGTAAAACTCCATGCATTTTCATTTCATTTTCTCATACCAAATCAGATCTGACAAGGATGGCAGCTGCTTAGAAGTCAATGGAATAGATTCACATTTTGTTGTTCGAGTTCAGAAAGCTTTCAAGCATCCTTTTAAACCTGGAATATTCTTATACATTCTGAAATATAACTCTTTTTAACTACTTTTAAGTATATTCAATGTACTTACTAAACTTTGTTATGAATCATTGAATAATTGGTAAATTATATTAGTTAATTACTGCCACGTGTAAAAACAATTATATTTTATTTATGGATATTTATTTATGTATTCATTTGTTTCATAATATTTAGATTCATTTGATTTTCATTAACCATATGGTAATAGTATTTTACACAGCTCCTTTCAGCTGCAGATTAATTTGGCTAAATACTTTTTCCTTTTGTGACTTTTAAACTCTCATTTAGTATGGATGCTTCCTAAAATTCTGAAAAGGCGTAAGGCAGAAAAATGGATGACGAAAACAGTTTCCATGATGAGCTTTTAAATATAATAAACAAATAATATTGTTCTTCCTTCATTTGTACAAAACTACTTGCACAAATTGCACAAATGGTTCAAAATTTGCCTATGTTGTCATTTTGGATTCAAAATCACAGAGAAGGAAAAGGGAAGAAATTTACAGTATATGAGATGTAAACTTGAAATCTTGGGTTCGATCAAGGCATAGGATATCAGTTATGCCAGTCATAGGGACTGATATTCTTTTTTGTTCTTCTAATTGCTAATAAAACTGAGGCCTTGTGCACTTTGTGTATTTTTTTGACACTGCCAATTCCCTTGAAATCAAATAACAAAATGGAACTGGTACCCAATCCAAGTTTTGCTCATTGACATTATTTGCCCTTAATGATGCATGAACAATTGCACTCTGTAGCATTTTTAGTAACTTGCGAACATATATTGAAAGTATTGAAAAATCATGAGAAACACAAGTCTGTTAACACCACAGTAAACCCTCATTAGCTTTGTTTTCAAACTCAAAGGATATTTCTTTAGATTGGAATTTAAAAGAGAAAAAAGAGAATTTTAAATGTAGCAGAAGACATTGGCGGGTCAGTACAAAAGATGTTAAGATAGAAGCTGACAACGTAAGAAAGATTAATATACCAGCTTTCTATCATGAAGTTATTATACAGCACTTATCTTGATAAAATATGCCCATACCTCAATCATTCTCTCATCATTTCTTTATAAGCCTCTCATTTATTGTCATTTATACCAGAATCTATGATAGGCTTAATGGAATCTTGTATTACCAGGAACCAAAGTTCTTATATTTCAGAGTGCCATTTACAGTATGTACCTTATTTAGAGTGGGTACCTTAGATTTCAGCATATTGTAGGCTGTTTTTTGTTGTAATGTGTTACTTCCCATTTTTTTTTAATGGTAAAAATTCAATCTTTAACCACAAGTTGTAATTTCAATAGCAGTGTAAACTACCAATAAGAAAGCCCCATAAAGTCATTGAATAGCATTATGTGATCCTTAAGATTATTGTTACAGTAAAGCCTTTCTACAAATTCAACACATTTGTGTTTGCCGA